GTACCTCCAGCTGCCGTGCCAGTAGACAACGCAATCGCTCCGCTTGCGCCGCCGGTTGAGCTCGCCGACGTGATAGTGACGGCGCCGGATGCTCCTGAAGTTGAGGAGCCGGTGGAAAGGGAGAGCCCCCCACCAATAACGCCGCTGCCCGAGACCAACGATAGCACACCTCCGGGACCGAGGCTGCCTGGGCCAACCGACAGGTTGATGCCGCCACCGCCAGAGCCAGAAGAGGCGCCCGTTTTGAGTTGAATAATACCACTTGTGCTGTCGCTCAAAGTGCTGATCATGATGATGCCACTGCTCGAGGTGCTTGTACCGGCGCCCGACGTGACGACAACATTGCCGCCTGTCGAAGAGGACGCGGCACCTCCGGTGAAAATGACGTCGCCGCCAAGGGTACCAGTGCCACCAAGAATGGCCACTTTACCGCCACTTGAAGCAGAACTCGCACCGGCGGCGACAAGAACGGAGCCGCCAGAACCGATAGATCCGTTTCCGACAGACAACGCAATATTGCCTCCAGTGCCACCAGGAGCGGTACCAGTCGTCAGAGATAGACCGCCCGAGTTGCCACCAGTTGCTGTAGCCGTCGCAATGCTCACGGCTCCGGAGATTCCTGCTGTCGACGAGCCGGATGTTAAAACGATGTCGCCACCCGTGACGGCGCTGCCTGCCACCAGGATGGCACTGCCACCGATACCCGAGTTACTCGCTTGGATCGAAAGCACAATATTGCCCGACGTTCCCGAAGACGCTTGGCCAGACAAAATCGAAACAGAGCCGGAAGCACCATTTGAAGCCACGCCAGAAGCAAGAACAATGTTTCCGCTCGTACTTGAAGCCGCAGAAGCCACCGAAATGGCGCCACTGATACCAGTACTGCTCGGCCCCGACAGTAGCTGGATACTGCCACCGGCGCGCGACGAGCTTGACGGACCACCACCGAGTACGATGGCTCCTCCGACTCCGAGCAAGGCACTGCCCGCGGTGACAGCGACACTGCCGCCAGCGTTGTTGGCGCCGGTGCTGGCCCCGGCCGTGAGGGTGATGATACCTGCCACTGACCCATTGCCCGCAGCTGCAATGACACTACCAGCTTGAGCCGTAGCGCTGTTACCGGCACGCGCCGTAATGTCCCCTGATTTGATTCCCGTCGCCGTGTCGGAAGTTGCGATCGCGACATTGCCTGCGCTGCCGGCCATGCTACTGCTGATGCCACCAGTTTTTAGGGTGATTGTGCCAGAGTTGCCATCCGTAGCCGTTCCAGATGAAATGAGAACGGCTCCGCTTTGACCGAGCGTGGCAGCACCAGATCCAAGGGTCACGACACCAGATGACGCGCCGTTGTCGGCGGACATGAGCGATAGAGCTCCCGACACGGACGCCGCGTTTTGACTGCGACCGGTCTCCAGACGGATTGCACCACCGTCAGCGTTTGTCGACGACGTCGTACTTCCGGCGTTCATAGCGACGTCACCACCAGCTCCACTTGCCTCGTCCGTCCCCGCTTGGACCGTGACAAAGCTTGCCGCTTTGAGAGAGAGCCCGCCGAATTCAGTTGCAATTGTGTTGGCGCCGCCCACGAGGGTCACGCCTTTCACCGAGACGTGGACGCGAGTCGTGAGACCGCCGTTTGTTGCGTTGGACGACGCTGTCGCGAGCCGGAGCGTCGGCACATCGGTGCCAAACACAGCTTCGATTCCCGCAGCGGCTGTCACGTTGTCGGCGCCAACTGCCTTGAGCTCGATGCCGGCACCGAGACTCTCAATGTACATCGGAATACCCGTAAACGATGGGCCCGCAAACGGACGGTCGAGAACGATCGAGGACGCCGAGGGCGGGGCGGTCACAATGTATGTCGCGCCGGCAAGGCGGATGTACGTGTTGGCTGATAGAACGGACGCGAGGCTCGTAGACGTGCCCACGAGGGTGCTGCCTTGCGTCACCGTCGCTGTCCCGGGCACACGCACCAGACTCGATGCGTTGCCCGTCGAGTAGTGCACGAGACGCACTGTAGTGTGCGTGCCCGCCGTGTCCTACACATACAAGTTACGAACCGAGTCAACAAGTGTCCTTACCGTAGTCACATCGGTCGAATGCACTTCGAGACCGAGTGCGTTGACACTCGCAATCGGCGGTGCACCACCTTCGGACGCTGAGAAGAGAGCGCGCTTCACGGAAAGGCTTTCTTGACCCAAAAGAGCAAATTGAAGTCCACGGTCAACTTGGATGCCTGAACGATTGACCGCCACGACAGAGCGAAGCTCGAGCGAGTTGATGTACAAGACATCGCCAGTGTCCACAAAAGCCCTAGATACGTTTATAACGTAGGAGTCGACGCGACTCCAAATTCCTTACGAAGCATCGGTTGCCGTCGGAATCCACGTGGCTGCTATGGGGGCACCACCAGTGCCCACAGTAGTCGCCGCGCGGAAGAGTCCGCTGGACGTAATCTCGACAGAGGCCGACCCAAAGATCGGGTGGCTCTCGACCGACACGTCACCCAGGAATCGATTGTCTACACCAATGATAACGACTTGGCTTTGTCGTCGTAGACACCATACCCATGAGGAACGGGTCGCTTGGAGGGTTCGTCTGCAGCGTCAAGCGCCGATGCATCGCCTTGGGCGCTTGCGCCACGTCCATACTTACAGGTACATCTACATATCATGCTTTGAGACCCGATTTCTCATGACGCACGAGATTACCAAGTACTTGGGCGCCAACAAAAGCTGCCGCAAAAAGCACCACTATCACAGCAACGTGAGCTGTTAGCGCAGTGTCCACGCGTACGCTTTGGTATCGTTGTCGCAAAGAACATGGTCTTTCGCTTCTACGCCGACGTCGTGAGACCTCCTGTCGTCCGCCGCAAGATCATTGCACCGTCGTCGGTTGCTTCCACGTCCCGATGCTCGCCAAAAGCTACTGAGTTGGTCAGCAAATGTCAGGCATTCGCGCAGCTGTCCAATCAGAGACGCGCAGGCAACCTTCGAATCGAAACCAAAGCGCTGATAGGCCAGAACTGGATCTTCGACAGACAGTAAATTGTTCGACGTCGAACCGTGGAAGCTTTCGTGCCTGCCACTGGTGCCGGCTGATCGTTGGTTGCCGTTGGAAAAACTCCGACTCGATGCGGTTTATCAAGCGACCACGTTGTTATCTTCAAGCTACAATTTCATACGAATCCACAATGCAAGCCTTTTTCGGGGGTACAAGGCCAATGACCACAGTGGCCAAGACGCCACCGCGAGTTCATTTTCGGAGACGAGAATTATTTTTTGGTGGACTATGCGACAATTCGCGCTCTTTCCGCAGTTTTTCCCCGAGCGGGCGGGGCACGCGCAATGAGTACGCCTCCAATACGGACGGGCGACCGGGGCTTCTGCTCTCGCGTGCAGCCGCGCTCTCGAGTCGCTTCTTCGTACGCTCGGCTTTGTCGGAGCTGCGCGACAAGAGCTCGCGGTGCTCTGCATACCACTCACACACAGCGACACATCGCATGCGTGCGTACCTCGCACAATGTAGCTGTCGCCGCCGAGTGCACTCGGGTCGCGATCCAAGCGCGCGTGGCGGGGCGCCTCGGGCTCGACGCTTGTGCCAAACGATGTCACGGGCCGTACGTCGGGCGACTGCTTCCCGGGCCAATTGGCCAGCGGTCTACTGGCAGGCTCAGACGGGCGTCTCAGCGAGACGGCGCCTACAGGTACGAACCAGGGCCGATGCTCGCCTGCGCAAAAGCCGACGTCGGCGTCACGGGCGCGTCATCCGACGCTGCGTTCGACGGCCGCGAACTCGTCAAGTGCGAGAACGACATGGTTGATGCGAAAACGGACACGTTGATTTTGCTTTCGGCACATTCGGCATATTTTCCTTGGATTCGGCATACATTCCTATCCGGATGCTGTATGCGGTACAATCGGCTGGAACCAGTTGCATTCGGCATCGTTGTATTCGGCATTGGTGGGAACACTAATTGCGTTGGACAGACGGGATGCTGCTCATGTGGGTCGCGGGCCTCGCGCTCGGGTGGGCCGGCGTCTACGTCTTCCTGCACCTGAGCGCGGACGACGACAACGACATCCACGTGCTGCCAGCCTTTGTCTGCAAGGAGATCTCGTGGTTCAACGAGCGCGTCTTCGAGCTCGGGCGGCAGTACCCCACAGGGCTCAAGACGTGGTTCGCCGCAGGGAGCGTCGTCGCGGGCGCCGGCATGGCGATAGGCACGATCTACATCACATGGACGCTCGTCATGCTCGTCGTGCAGAAGCTCGCACGCGTCGAAGTCGACGTTCCGCTCTCGGACGCCTCGATCATGATTCCGGGCGTGACGATGCCCATGAATGCGACCGTCTACCTCTGGGCCACCGTCTTCCTCGCTGTTTCCTTTGTACTACATGGCACATGCATGTACGTAAACTCATGCAATGTTTTGTAGCACGAATTTGGCCATGCGCTTGCGGCCGCGCTCTGCGAAATCCGCATCAAGTCGGTCGGTATCTTCTTCGCGGTCGTCTTTCCCGGCGCGTACGTGCGCTTCGACAGCTACTTTAACGTCGGTCTTCTGGACCAGATCAAGATCCAGAGCGCGGGCATCTGGCACAACGCGGTCCGTCCATTTCTTTCGTCGATCCATGGCACATGGAGTTGCGTAGGTCCTCTGCTTTCTCTGCGTTGTGCAGCTTCAACTACTCCCGTTCTACCTCTCGCCTTTCTTCGATGTCAACCAAGGAATGACAGTCATTGCGATTCCGGAAATGTCGGCGTTCGAGGGCATCGTGTCCCTTGGCGACGTCATTGTGTCTGTGGACCACCAACCGACGCTCAATTGGGGTCAGTGGCGCTCCGAGATTGATTATCTCGCCAAGCTCGTCGAGACGAACGAGCTCAAGGATCATGGGTACTGCGTCCCGTCCGCTCTTCTGCAGTTGCACCAGTCCGCAATGACCGAGTCGTCTTGCTGTCGCCCCGACACGGACAGCAACGCCGAGTGCTTCTCCTACAACCACGGTGCTCTCCAGACCTGCCTCGATGGAAAACAAGTCGGCGACCTCTCGACGCACCGCTGTCATGGTGACGCGTCGTGTGCGGACGACGTGCACACATGCGTGATGCCCCGTATCCAGTCGATGCAAACGCTCATGCGTCTTGCCTTCCAGGACGGCCGCGTCGTCATGTTGCATGGGTTCCCCGCCGACCTCCACGCCGAGCTCGAGGTGATGGCGTACACAACCCCGTTGTCACCGCTGTGGTGGATTCAAGTACCCCAGAGTCTGTACCGGTTTTGGAGCTTCCTGCTCAACATCTCGGGCACGATTGGCTTTTTCAACGCGCTGCCGATACACTATTTTGACGGGAGCCACCTCTGCGCCAGCTACCTCCAGTACTGGATTGCCGACGAAACGCATCGACAGCAAGTGCTCTCGTTCGTGCTCTACGCTGGGGACGCCGTCGTTGTGAGCACTTTTCTATTACGCTTGATCTAATAAACAACAAAACGTTACTAAGTTCCTGGCGCCGCCGTAAAATCAGCTTTGCCGCCCGTCTTAGCCAGCAGCCGCGTCTCGGTGATGACAATGTCGTGGGATAGCGCCTTGCACATATCGTAGACGCACAGCGCAGCAATGGACGCACCCGTGAGCGCTTCCATCTCGACGCCGGTTCGACCAGTGACGGTCGCCGAGCAGTGCACGTGGATCGTCGAGTCGGCGTCTCGCACGTCAAGGGTCACCTTGCAGTTCTCGAGGCCCAGTGGGTGGCAAAAGGGAATGAGATCGCTCGTGCGCTTGGCACCCATGACGCCTGCAAGCGTCGCAGTCGACAGCACCGGACCCTTCTTGCTCACGAGCTCCGCGTCGTGCCGGAGCGCGGCCATGACTGCTGGTGGCAAACGAATGATTGAGCGCGCTGTCGCCGTGCGCTTTGTCACGGCCTTGCCGCTCACATCCACCATGGTTGGCTGCTTCTCGGCGTTGACATGAGTAAGGCCATGCAGCGACGAGCTCGCGCGGACCGGCGGCCAACGAGCGATTCGACCGAGCAGCATGATGTGTAGTGGCTAGGTCGACGCCACCTTTGGTCACAGAAACGTGTGTGCAAAGGCAAAAGGTTGCCGGGAAAGGCGTGATTTTAGACCACCGTTTGGCGCTCACCTCTCATCTTGGATCCACCACTCAGCGGTCGCCGAATTCGGGGGCATCATATTTAAATTACATATAAAAAGCAAGGTATATTTGAATCAACGCGTTATTAATATGCTACGAGTCATCGCCAGTCATAAGATTGCAAATTCCATCAGTAACATGGCCGAAGCCCCGAGCACGACGACGACGCCCCGAACCCCGATGCCCACGACGCTCCTCGTCATTGGCATGGCCGGCAGCGGTAAGACGACCCTGATGCACCGCCTGGCTGTGCATGCGGCCGAGCAGCAGCGCGAGCATCGCCAGTACGTCGTCAACCTGGATCCCGCTGTCAAGCAGGTCCCGTACGGTGCCCACATCGATATCCGCGACACGGTCGACTACAAACAGGTCATGACCGAGTATGGTCTTGGCCCCAACGGCGCCATCATGACGTCGCTCAACCTCTTTGCGACGCGTTTCGACCAAGTCGTCGAACTCATCCAGAAGCGTGCGCCCGATCTCGAGTATGTTGGCAATCGTCTCCGCTAAACACTCATCGCTCTTCGACATTAGCTACGTGGTCGTCGACACGCCCGGTCAGATCGAGGCCTTCACATGGTCTGCGTCCGGCGCGATTATCACCGAGTCGCTTGCGACGTCCTTCCCGACTGTTGTCGTTTACGTGGTCGACACGCCTCGCACGACGAGCCCCAACACGTTCATGTCCAACATGCTCTACGCGTGCAGGTAGCCCCTCGCAGTGCTCGTTGCGGGATACTTATGTGCTTCTAGCATTCTGTACAAGGTCAAGCTGCCCTTCATTGTGCTCTTCAACAAGACGGACGTCGTGACGCATGACTTTGCTGTCGACTGGATGACCGATTTCGAAGCCTTCCAGACTGCGCTCGACCAAACGAACGAAGAAAGCTACATGAACACGCTCTCGCGCTCGCTCAGTTTGGTCCTTGAGGAGTTTTACTCCAACCTGCGCCATTGCGGCGTCTCGGCAGCTACGGGCGCCGGCATGGACGAGTTCTTCAAGGTTGTCGCCGAAGCCACGAACGAATACTACGAAGAGTACCTGCCCGACCTTATGTACCGCATTGAGCAGCAAAAGAACAAGGCCGACAAGAAGAAGGAAGTCAACCTCGAGAAAGTCATGAAGGACATGACTGTCAAGGACGAGGATGAACCGAAGGGTCCGCCTCCTGCGCCTACGGTCGCTGTGCCTCCGCAAGGCGATCGCACGGAGCTCTAAACCGCAGATTAACATATTCATCAGAGGTCAATATTCTATGTATCTTGTTCGTCTACACAAGTTTGCGTCCCGCCCTGTGCGGCTCGATTATTTGGCGCCATGGCCTCTGCCGCTGCGAAGACCAAGTGGCGGCTGCATATAAAGTGCGCAATCGTACTTAATAGAACTGCACGTATCCGCCTGCAACATACTAATGCACAATACAAACTTCTACTCTAATAATAAGCGACTCGAATTTCGATTAAGTGCGCTCTTCGGCGACCAAAGCGGGAAACTGGAATCTCGAGCTTGCGGCAGCTTTGTACACTTGGAGTTGCGCAACACGAAGTCGGCCATGGAGACGAACCGGGACGAGCAAGTCGCGCTGATCCGCGGCCCGGACCACATGGAGATCCTCCAGAAGTCCATGAGCAAGGCCAAGATCGAAGGGTACCACATGAGCAGTGGAAGGACCACCGGGTACGAGGACGACGATGGACGAAGCATCGTGCGATCCATGCCTGTCTGTAGATTCAAGCCCCTGGGAAGAGACTACGCGAAGAACCCTGGGTCCTCGAGCGCTCTGGCCATCATGCGCGGCTTCCGGGGACCCCAAGGTCCTCCATCGGTCATACCGATCGAGCAAAGCCCGGCGACGATCGATATTACACAAGTCGGCGCCGAAATCATCGAGCGCAACAAGAAGAAGACGTTCGAGATGCTAGAGAAAAAGCCGTCGCTGTCCTCAATCCATGCAAGTGTGACGACGACCAAAGCTCCGTCAACGAGAAACATGGTACAGAATGCGTGTGGATGTAAGCGATGTCGACTCATGATGCTTGCGGTAGCCCGACCACGATATGGGCGAAGACTTGGACGAAATTCTCGGGGCCGTGGATCTCGACGAGATGGTCGCGTCAGCGACGCACGCGACGAAGCCCTCGCAACGAAGCGATTATCGCAAGCCCCTTCAGACGACAAGCACAGCATTCAGCGCGATCCCGGCCAGCTCAACACCGTCAACGTCGTCGCGTGCCTATCCGGCAAATGTATCTGCTGCAGCGCCGTCTTACGCTACTCCTTCGACGTACTCGGCGGCTCCAACATCAACATACACAGCTCCCACTCCTTCAACCTTCGCACCATCAGGAAGCTCGTATGCTGGATCAAGCAAACTCGCTTCATCGCGCTCGATGGCAGTCAGCGACAACCAAGGTAACCTCGAAGCGAGCATTCAAGCAACGCGAGCAAAACTCCGCCGGGTGCGCGAAGAGTGCGACGACGCATCGCTCGATGGTGATGTCCCGTACGAGCTGGAGCGGCAACGAGATGCGCTCGAGGCAGAACTAGCGTCCAAGATCACGGCACTGCACGCACGAAAGGTTGCAGCAGCGTCCCAAGGACCGTCGCTGGAGCAGCTGCAAGACTCGATCAAAGACGTCCGAGCGAAGCTTCGGCGAGTGCGTGAAGAGTGCGACGATGCGTACCTCATGGGCGAAGTGCCTGACGAGCTTGAGACGGAGCGCACCAATCTAGAGCAGTCGCTTGCGCACTACAGCAAGCTCTACCGCGACGCGCGCAACGGGTCGACATCTGCAACGCCCACACCAACGCCCGTGCCGACCCCGGCACCGACGCCGCGCGCCTACTTATCCCCGACTCCAGCGCCAACGCCCCGCGCCTACGTGTCACCGACCGCACCTTACAGCCCGCCGTCTCCACGATACAACAGCAGCAACAACTATGAAATGGCGCTCCGCGACACGGGAGGGTCGAGCCAAGTGCTCTGCAAGTGTGGGCGACCAACGACGGCGAAAAAGGTCGTCCACGGCCAGAACGCAGGTCGTCTCTACAACTCTTGCGAGTCGTGTGGCTTCCACAACTGGGCCGATGGCGGCTCATCCACAAACTCGAGCTCGTCGTTCCAGTCCAACCCAACGCACGACTTCAACGCGACGACATCAGCTCCTTTGGCGATGGAAGCTGATCTCGCAAGCAAGATGAAGCGCGCAAAGCACATCCTACGCGACGTCTTTGGTCATTCGTCGTTCCGTCCGGGGCAAGAGCGTGTCGTCCAGGTAACTCGACACGACGCTTGGAGGGCTGCGATTATAACAGACATCGTAGGAGGCACTTTTGGGGCACGACGTGTTTGTGCTCATGCCCACGGGTGGCGGCAAGAGTCTCTGCTACCAGCTCCCGGCGTGCGTCGATCCCGGCGTTTCGATCGTCATCTCCCCTCTTGTGTCGCTCATTCAAGACCAAGTGCAGCAGCTGCAAGCACTCGACATTGACGTAGCGCTTCTTAACGGCGACCAAGACTACGACTCTGTGCAGAAGCCCATCATCTCGCAACTCTTTTCCAACTCGATACAGATCAAGATGCTCTACGTGACACCGGAGAAGATCGCGTCGAGCGGTCTCTTGGGGAAGCTCTTCGAATCGCTCGCGTCTCGCGGCATGCTTGCTCGCTTTGTCGTCGACGAGGCGCACTGCATCAGCCAGTGGGGCCACGACTTTCGGAAGGACTACATGAACCTGGGCAATCTGCGCTCGAAGTACCCCAACGTAAGTGCATCTCAAATACCAACCCCTTCGATATACTTGCAATGTCTAGGTGCCCATCATGGCGCTCACAGCAACGGCCAACGGACAGACGGAGGCAGATATCGTCAAGAACCTGCGTCTGGCCAAGCCTTTTGTGACTCGATCGAGTTTCAATAGGTATGTTGATTTCCTACGCGCACGTGTGCCAACAACCATGACCCGTAGACCCAACTTGACGTACGACGTGCGCCGCAAGACATCCAAGTTCATGGAAGAGATGTGCAACTTTGTTCGCGACCGCATCGACGAGTCGGGCATCATTTACTGGTACAGAATACGAGTTCCACAGTACATGTCATGCTGATGCAACCATCGATGTAGCTTGTCAAAGAAGGACTGCGAGACGACAGCCAACAAGCTCATCCAGACTCTTGGCTACGAGGGAACGTCTCGGGCCAAGCAGATTTCCTTCTACCACGCTGGGTTGGAATCGGAAGACCGGTCCAAGCGTCACCACGAGTGGAGCAAGGGTCGCATCAAGTGCATTGTGGCAACGGTTGCCTTTGGCATGGGCATCAACAAGCCCGATGTGCGATACGTGATCCACCACACTATCCCCCAATCAGTGACCCATTACTATCAAGTACAAACGCATACACAAAGGGCAACTTACTCATTGCGAAGTAGGAGTCGGGCCGCGCGGGTCGTGACGGGGAGCAGTCGACGTGCTTGCTCTACTACTCTTTCAAAGACATGGTATACGTCGCCTTCGTGCGAATACACAAAGGTTGATGCAGCCAAATGCGTAGTCGCGTCGCCGCCACTTGATCTCCCAAGACCGCGAGAACCCACAACACCGGAATGTGCACTTTCAGAACCTGCGGCGCATGGTCGAGTTTTGCGAAAACCAAGTCGAGTGTCGGCGCACGAGTCTCCTCGAGTACTTTGGCGAGCATTTTTCCAACGCCAACTGCCACGAGACGTGCGACAACTGCAAGGCGCGTGGCAAAGGTGTTGCGTTCGAGCAGAAGGACGTCTCGGCCGACTGTCGCTTGCTGCACAATATTGGTACGACGAGTGTCCATTCATTGACTTGCTCCAACACTTATGTAGTGCAACGTTCTGCGAGTGAAAACGAGTCGCTGACCGTCGTGCAGGCGTCGGCCGTGTTTATGGGCTCGATGGCAAAAGACAACCAGAAGCGACGTGCGTTCTACGAGAGCTTTGTCGAGTTTGGCGCGGGCAAGGGCCGTTATGACCGCAGTGAAGTCGAGCGCGTTATCTACAACATGATTCTGCGCCAGTTTCTCGACGAAGTGGTCCGGTCCCCTTTCCATTGGATCGTTGTGTTGATACACGATGTAGGAGAAGAAAAACACAATGGGCTTCTCCTCCAACGTGCTCGTCGTCGGGCAACAAGCACGCAAACTAGTCCAAGGCGAGCGCGTCGAACTCGTGTACAAGACGAAGCGAAAGCCGCTCGTGGTTTCGGAGCAAGTTCCCGTGACCAAAAAGGACAAGCAAAAAAAGGCATCCAAGGCCAAAATATCCAACAAAACATCAGGGGCGGTGCCAGCGGCCTCGCTCGACGACGATGGCGTCGAAGTCGTCGAGATGTTCCCCGTCATGCCCCGACACACTAAGCTCGCGGCACGGTGCGTTCTTGATACATCTGTGGCTACTGAACGCCACGTATAGGGTTCCGCTGCATCATGTCGAAGCGCTGCACCAGATTTTGATGGACTGGCGTGCGTCCGAATGTGACAACTTTGACGTGATGCCGTATCACATTTTGCCCACTGCCGGCATCGTCGCCATCTCCGAGGCCGTGCCCGTCTCCAACGCCGAGCTCATGGCCATCGAGGGTGTCGGTCGGACGCGCGTCAAGAAGTACGGTGCCGCCATCATCGAACTCGTGCAAAGCTACTTGACAAAGGTACGACTGCTACTTCCTCAAATCCTATGTAGAACGCAATGCACGTCAATGTTTCTAGAACGGTCTTGTGCCTGCGCCGTTGCCCGAGGGGTACATTACGGCCGAGATGATGCACGACGTCAAAGACACAAGCCCACCGAAAGCCTTGTCGGCGCCTGTTGCGAGACCAAAGGCCAAGTCGCCCTACTTCCAGAAATCCAGCGCGGCTCCGACGTCAGATGCGTACGATGACATGGATTGGGCCATGTTTGACGACACGGCCGACCTCGAAGCGACGTCCCACAAGCGTCCGATTGAAACCATCGACCTCAGCGGGGAGGCCTCCAAGAAGCGCAAGCTCCACCTCATCGACCCCTACTAGCACTTCATTCCTCACCGTTGTTTGCTCGCGGACTTATTTGCTCGAAGTCGACAAAGAAATCTTTATTCTTTACTTTTGTCTCTGTCGTCCAAGGACGATCGGGGGCGCGGAAGGGGCACTCTTGGGGTCCATTGCGGCCCGCGTCGATACACTCAAACTCGACGAAGGGCGCGGACCCGCGATCTTTTCAGGTCGTCTCTGTCTGCGCTTGCAGATTGAAGATACGTCCGTCATGCATGTGCTGGTCCCTCTCCACGACCCGCGCGGTCGCGTCGTGGACGAGGCCTCCGTCTTAGGCCAGGAGGGCCTCAATGTCGGCCTCGAGGTCGAACGGCGCGACGTTGGGCTCGTAGCGCTTCACGGGTTGCCCGTGTCGGTCGACGAGGAACTTGGCAAAGTTCCACGTAATGTCGCCCGGGAGGCGGTCCTTCAGGAAGACGTAAACCTCCTGTGTGTGCTCGCCGTTGACGTCCGCCTTTTCAAAGAGCGGGAAGCGCACGCCAAACTTGGCGACGAAGGCCATGATTTCGGCGTTCGTACCAGGCTCTTGGCCACCAAACTGGTTGCACGGGTATGCGAGGATTTGCAGACCGCGGTCACGGTACTTGTTGTCGAGCTGGACGAGTTGAGTGTAGTTAAGCTTCGTGAGGCCTCAGGCCGACGCGACGTTGACGACGAGGCACACGCGCCCGCCAAAGGTGGCCATCGGCACGCGCTGCCCGTCCATGTTGTTACTCCCGAGGTCGAAGAACGACTTGGCGGCCATCTTTCTTGGTCCAGACAAATCTCAGTATGGCATATTCTTTCGAAAATCTTTGTCACTTGATCCACCAGTGAAGCTCAAAGAAGACAGTCGAAACGCCACAGTGGATCTTGAACTGTGATCGGGATGCCCTCGTGCAACACACCTGGGACCTCGCCTCTTGCCGACTTCAACGAGGCATTGGTCCCTGCATCACAAAACCTAAAGCAATCAGCACAAGCTAGCAGCACACCCAGCGGTGCTGGGTGCGTTGGGTCGAGCGCATTACACTTCTCACATCACACGCAATGTCCAGAGCCCAAATGCTTGCTCTCAGACCCACTAACGTTATGGCAATTACGGGCACCGGTATAGTCCTAGCGCTATTGACGTAGAGTACTATTATAAATTAGACGGCAAGTTGTACAGCTATGGACCACATGCGTGCCATTAGGTCACGGTCGGGGCTCGCCCGCACGCCATCCACTCATCAAATGGCGCGCGGAGCCCGCTGTCTTTTCAAGTCCGCTCCGACTCGGTTGAGTTTGAGGAGCGGACTGTCATTCATGTGACGTGTATGGAAGGTTCAGTGGTCGTTTGCGGTCTAGTCGCACGCACTTGTGGGGCGCGTCTCTTCGTCGAGGAGATCGAGGATGTCGTCGATGAGCTTGATCGGCGGCGTAAACGTCCCGAAGCGCTTGTACGGCTGGCCGTTGCGGTCAATGAGAAACTTGGTGTAGTTCCACTTGATTGTCGATGTAAACGTGCCCCGGAGTTTGCTCTTAAGGTACTTGAAGACGGGTTGTGTCTTGGACCCGTTCACATCGCCTTTTTCCATGACGGGAAACGTCACGCCGTAGCTCCGCGCGAACGCGAGAATCTCGTCGTTCGTGCCGGGCTCTTGGTTGGCAAACTGGTTGCACGGGTACAGGAGGATCTGCAGCCCGCGGTCACGGTACCGGCGATCGAGCTCGACAAGTTGAGTGTAGTTGAGCTGCGCTTGGGATCAGCTCGCGCCGGCGACGTTGACGACGAGGCAGACGCGGCCCGTGAACTTGGCCATCGAGATCTCGACGCCGTCCGTGTTCTTGCTGCTGAGCTCATAGAACGACGACGCACTCGACATGGTCGGTGGTTCCGCTGGACGGAGGCAAAAAGCTCAAATGAATTGCGCGCGCGACGAATCGAGACACGGGGGGTGACCCTCCCTATAAACACACTCGCCCCGGCTCTCTCAATAACTTCAATTCAGTATGAAATACGGAGAAGTACTACGCGGCCAGTTGGGGGGCGTACCGAAAGGGAGAGTTGCACGCTGTCTCTCGGATGATCACCGCCACCTGATTGTTGAAGCGCCTTGAACATCATGGTGTCTGGATCACGCACCGTCGCCAGACTTCGGCAGGCGACTGGTCGAGCTTCTGAAGTCTTTACTTCGCTCTCACCACCCTGCAACTCTCAGCGCCCCGGGAGATCGAAAGCACATGTATTGCCCCAAGCATGAGCTGGAGGCTGGTCGATCACTGCCAGCCAGAGCGCCGATTGAATCACTGATTTGCCACGTTATAGAGAAGATGATCATTGTTGACGATAAAGCTTTTGAGTATGCTCGAGTGCTTGGTCCGTTGGTCCCCGGGTAGCTATGACTCCAATCAGCACACATCGCGTCCTATACTCCGTGGCACGGAGTATAGCACTCCGAGTTGGGAGATATCGTTGCTTCTTCCACAGTAGTATCCTGCGTACAATGCAAATTCGACGAATCCGATTCGTGTGCTCTTTGATTAGTGATGACGGTCGCCAGTCGGTTGTCGACTCGACACACGTGCTACAGTCGTTCTTCTTTGCTCCTTCAGACAACTGTAGCGCAACTCGTTACGACTGCACCAAGCACTGCTCTGGGCGTTGTGTCCACGAGTTGTACGAACCGCAATATCATCAGGTGTGCAAAAGCAGTCACCTCAGCGATCTAGCACTGCACCTTGGAGGACTTGTGTCATGAGAGCGACCACTCGTGTCGCGCGGTAATCCTAAAAGTGGTACTTTTACAACGACCACACCCAACGACGATCCTTGTCCGCTCGCAAGCCTCGGTAACGTTATGACAATCGCCGCACGAGGGCCGCCTCATTCACACTTAGTAGCAATGTCCAAGAACTCTCGTAAAGGTATTGACGGTCGACGCCGAAATGGCGGAAAAGCTAAAATCCGTAAAAACAACCATCGACCTGCTCAATCCTCGATCCCATAAATGGTTGTCGTCGCCGTTCTCACCGCGCTTGCCGTCGGGTGGGGAGCCACGTCCGTTTTCAGGTGTTGTGGCGTTCACGACGCACTGCCGACGCGGCATTGTGCTGCAAATACGTCGCGCCGAGCCACGCTCGGTCATACCAGCCAGCCCAGTGTATCGGCAGCCGTTCCAACACCGACTCCAATGTTCGAGGCGCTCGACCAACACGTTCTCGACCCAATCGAGGCGCAACGCACCGACAAAGCGATTGCGCTGGCATGCGCCAGCCTGCGCTCAGAGCTTCGCCGCCTCGTACTAGCGGCGCAATCCTTTCGCGCAGACAACGTCGCCGGGCCACTACCGGGAGCAAGCGACGACCCGATGACGCTCGTCTCCCAGGACATTCCTCGCTTTGCATCCACGCTGGTGTATCTGACGACATTGCGAGCCGAGTTCGAGGCGACGGGGCAATGGCTCGACGTCGTCGCGTGCAGCACCGCTTTTGACCAACTTAGTGCGCGCTGCTGGGATGCGTACTCGCGACGACCAGACCTATTACAGCGCAAGGGATGATCTCAAGTCGGCGAATATGATGATATGATGAAATGTATGAATGATGCGCTTATGTCAGCGTCTACGGTCCTACCAAGAGTCACGGTCGGGGGCAGTGGCGCGAAGCGTGTCCACTCAATTGACAGCTCCGCGCATGCGTCCCAGTCTTCTCGAGCGCTTCCTGTCTGTGATGCAGGTTGGAGGAAGCGCCGTCATGCATGTGAGATCCTTCTTGTTGGTGATGTAGCGTCGGCACAAGGTTGCGTCGTTTACTGCGCTTGGTCGAGCAGCTCGAGAATGTCGGCTTCAAAGTCCATCGGCGCCGTCTGCGGACTGTAGCGCTTGAACGGCTTGCCGTTGCGGTCGACGAGGAACTTGGTAAAGTTCCACTTGATGGCCGATCCGAGCGTCCCCGTGAGCTTGCTCCGGAGGTACGCGTACACGGGCTGCGTGTTGTCGCCGTTGACGTCCGCCTTCTCAAAGAAGGGGAACGTCGCGTTGAAGTCGGCGACGAAGGCCATGATTTCTTCGTTCGTGCCGGGCTCTTGGCCGCCAAATTGGTTGCACGGGTATGCGAGGATCTGCAGGCCGCGGTCGCGGTACTTGTTGTCGAGCTCAACGAGTTGAGTGTAGTTGAGCTTCGTGAGGCCTCAGGCCGATGCCACGTTTACGACGAGGCACACGCGCCCGCGGTACGTCTCCATGGGTACGCAGCGGCCTTGCATGTCGTAGCTCTCGAGCTCGAAAAAGGACTTGGCGAGCGTCGGGTCAATGGTCGTTGCCCGGCGGATCGTGGCGCCGGCGCGCTGGAACGCTTCCATCCACGACGTCTGCTCTGGCGCCGAGGCCGCGGCCACCGTCACACGCTCGTCGCCAGACTTGAGCAGCATCGCGTGGGCGCTGGCCGTGTCTGGCTCGACCGACGTGACCTGCGTGTTGCAGTCAAAGGTCGTGTGGGTCACGGTCTGGGCTTCGTTGGTGATCGTAATCTTCTTCTCGGCCGCGTCGGCGACCACGTGGACCGTGTCGGTCTTGACGCAGCTGCCAAAGAAGCCGCGGAATCGACCCTTGTCCAGCGTGAGCCGCTTCAGACGGCCCGAGACGGACGATGTAGCTTCCATGTTTGGGGAGATTTAGAAAATGTCCTTTTCAGTTTGCCGTTTGACGTTGCACTGACCAACCAATCAAAATGCGCGATAGTGTGTATACTTCATGTTTGTATACTCATGTAAGACTGGGATTTGCGACATGTACATGCGAGTATTTGGAGCACCTTTCGAATCGTGATTCGTCGCCAGCCATCGGTACGCGATCGGCGCGGCTCCATGCACCCGGTCGTCGCAAGCTGAACAGTATCGAGGCACCGCTTTATCACAGAATTACAGAGCAATTCAAACGACAATATCTCTCTACTGTGGCACAAGCATGTCTTCTGCATTTTTGCACAAGTCGATAGGTTTGCCCATGAGAGCTCCCACCGTGCGGTATGCGGCAAGATACTCGCGGGTGGTGGGACCCGACACCTGACTCGGTCACCTGACTCCGAAGGTCCCGGAACGAGCGAAAGGGCAGCGATCTGGTCACCGACCTAGTTTGCTCAACAGGAATATGCTGGCGAAGTTGCAACGACGAAAGCACGTCGACGCAGATGCCCTCGATGCCTTGAAGCAGCGTCGTCACGTCAGAAATGGCAGATGGCAGAAAAAAACACCTGCACTTTTGACGGGAGACATTAGTTTGTCGACAAGATGCTTAATTCGATGGGCTCATTAGCACGCGTCGCAGTAGGTGCACACGTTGCAGTCGCGGCCCTGGACGCGCTTGGTGGTGATGTGGTTGCGGCATACAAAGTACGTGCAGATCGAGCACTGCTGGCGTTTGGCAAAGAGCGAAAACTTGGCGTGGCAGTCGAGAATGCTGCAGTACCACGTCGAGTAACACCGGATCTTGGTGCTATCGTCGTCGTCGCCTTCGTCGTCCGTGAGTACATTTTGCGTCGGTGGTGGGACGCCGTAGAGCCAGAGCAAGTCGAGTGGCGCCGCCGCCTACCATCCCGTGATATGCGTGCTGTCGAGAAGCAATGTGTGTACCTCCACGAGCGCCGACGAGACGCTGCACTTGTGGTTGGGCGCGCACCGCTGCGGACAAAAAAGCGCTTTGCAGCTTTGGCACTGCTTCTTCAGGAGGTGGTTCCAGACGTGGAACGGCGTGTTGCAGCCGAGGCAGACACCGCCGCCGACCAGCGCCGCGCTTGCTTCAACCGGCGTGAGCTCCCACTGCCGCGCGAGCTCCAGCGGCGTCTTGCGCGCAATGAGCGGCGGCAACCCCGCGCCACTCGCGACGTTGATGTTGGCGCCACGCCGCCACAAGAGGCGAATGATGTCGGGCTGGTTGCGCACGATGGCAAAATGCAGTGGCCGAAGCTCCCACTCGTCGCCGGCGTTGACGTTGGCGCCCTTCTACTGCCAGTTGCATGAGGAAAAACATGTAGAGACAACAAGTCGACCTCGAGAGCAAAGACGGCGATCGCGATCGAGCCATACCACGTCGCAAGGTGCAGCACCTGCACACATACCACAGATCGGCCAACCTCCTATAAGAAAGAGAGCTCGACAACGTACTTCGTTGGCGACAACGACCGACGACGTCGGGTCTGGACGCGTCTTTTGCCACACATCCCAGAGCACGAGCATGGTTTGGACGGCGCCAGCTTCGATCACTGCGTCCCACGCCTCGGAGAGCGTCCGTCGCTTCACAAAGGGCCAGAGGGGGCTGCGTGTCGCACTCGCGGTGCGCTGCAGAAGGCCCCCGTACGCCACGGCCGACGGCACGGGCGGCACACTCAGCGCCGCCATCACAATCTGGTACGTGTCGACGTGCTTGGTGACACTCTTGAAGTCGCGCAACAGGTCGTCAAACGACATGGAGAGCAGCTGCGCTTCGACGCTCTACACGCCATATACATTCCGTCCAGTTGTATGAGGGATACGCAAACCTGAAGCAGCGCAATACCAATGCGGAACATGACGTCCGTGACGTCGGCGAGCACAAGGTCGAGAACGGCGTGCGAGAGCTCAATTTTGCTCGAACAGGCAAACTACGCGCGTCGCGTCAGCCGACTGCGACAGGGACACGGAGGTACCATGGTCGTAAACCACTCGATGCCGTAGAGGTACACGTCAAAGCCGACCGCGTCGAGCTTGGCCGCGAGCTCGGGCAGCAGCTCGGCCACGCGCGCTTGGAAGCGCTGCAAGTACTCGTTCAGAAAGACCGACGAGTCCTTGTAAAACTAGACGCAAATGAGTTCGATCGTGACCATCGCCACTTACTTGGCTCATGTGCTTGTGCTGGAGGAGGTAGACAAAGGTCGCGTACGCATCGGCTTCCGGTAGCCCGGCCTCGAGAAAGACGGCCGCGATGAAGTTCATGCCCTGACAATACCCGTTCTCAGCGCGTGCGACCCCGTTGAGGACGCGGAAGAGCGACGGCTCGAGCGCGCGGTACGCCTCGTCGTCCGATGCATCAAAGATGCAGAACGTGCGCGCCACATCACGTTCGATGAGCTCCGAGTACGCGTGGCGCGGCGAAGCGATCTATGCGCCAGCGTGAGCTGCGGGCGACGGACGGAGGCGCACCTGGTCGTAAACATGGCGGTGGATGTGGGCGACGGGCGCCGGGATCGACCAGCGCAGGCCTTTTGTCGGCTCGGTCAGCGCTAGCACCTTGGCGCGCTCGGCGTCGTCGGCAAAGTTGACGCGCTTCACGACGTGCTTCCAGAAGACATCCCGCGCTGGCATCGCGGAGCTGCACTTGACCTGGCAGAGCAAGGCGACAATCCCATCAACCGGATGTGCACTGGTATCCGTATTATCCGGAAACCAACATTCCAACGACAGGCTAAACACACGCAATACAAATGACATGGAGCTCACAGGCCTCTGTCGTGAGCGCACGGTGCCTGCTGCCGCGACGGTATTAGCACCGTACAAAGCAGATAACTACTAATTACTGGGTCTCACGCTAATATAGAGCGTATCGCCCAGCAATAGGTCTATCTTGCGAGTGGTGACCAAATCCAACCAGCAAAGTTGGGTAGCCTTGAGCGGCGATACACTTGTACTTGTGACGACTACCCGGACGGTGGCGTCCCGCGAAGCGGTTGAAACGACCGACCATGCACATTACGACACTGTCTCGCCACCGAGAGCGGACATACGTATTGTATTTGCCCACGACCATCGCTATTTAAGCACGTCACCGCTTCAAAAATACACAAAAAGCTAGCATTTGCCTTTTCTCTTTCCCCACCAGCGACCCTTGAGCCAGAATCCTCTTGGGCACAACAGAAAGTGCATTGAAAGGGGTTATTTGGGTGTTTTTAGCTGCCTGTAGACCGACACCACCGCCCGTTTCCGGTTTCTGGCTCTCTGCGCTTCAGAGAAAATGACGTGGCGGCTTGTCATGTAACCTCCAAGTGCACGCCTGCGGTTAAAAAATATATATATATGAACGTGTTTCGCGTTATCTTCCTAATTACAAAAAGACTTTGCATACGTAGAGACTAGCAGTCTCTTTCTTCTTCATTCGCCCGCCGGTCCGTGGCTGCGCAGGCGGCGGCGCGGGGGCTCGTCTGGCTCTTCTGTCGTCGCCCTACGACGCTTGTGACCGCGGGTGAGGTACTGGACGACACGGTCGGTCAAATCTTTCCAGGCGTCGCAGGCGGCGGCAAAGCTACGCAGTTTGTCAAGGTCGTCGGGAGTCGCCAGCGAGTCAGCGACTGGAGGTCGCGGTGCAGGACGATCGGCAGCGTGATCTTGCCTTGTCATCGTCGCTCGCGTCGTCGGTCGATCGCGAAGGCTGCACAGATTGCGTCCTCGTGGTATTGACAGCTGCACCGCGCGGGGCGCGACCTTCCTGGCCGCGGGGTGCCGCAGTTGTTGCAGACGTTGCCGAAGTCCGCTGCGGCGGCGCTGGCTGCTGTGCGTCAGGTCGCGCGGGCTCGGCTTGGTTCGCAGCAGGCGGGGCGGCGCGGGCCGGTCGCGCATCGGGCATCGTCGGTCGGGTCACGCAGTGGTTACCCCAAATGGCGGCGCTGGCTTGGATGTGGTCAACGGACAAGCGGCGCTCGAGGCCTTGGACAACCGGCTTGTGCAGCCCGAGCCGGTGCGCGAGAACCGTCTCGTTCATCTTGTAGGCAGATCCAAGGGCACCATACACCAAGGCTGCGCAGTAGACTTCATCGTACGTCTGGCGCAAATGCGGCCCGAGCTCGGAGTACTTGTCCTCGTTCTTGCGCGCGATGCGTTCAAATGGACAACCATTGGGCGTCCCGTTGGTCGTGTGCGGTTTGTGACAGAATATCCTCTTTTGCAGCCAAGTCCTTGGCCTGGAGCCGTCGTTCATAGAGGTAGAGCTCAGCAAACCTGCTCTCGAAACCTCCTTGTGTAATACGTCCTGGAGAGCTAACAACAGCAGTAGCAGCAAGGTAAGTAGGTGCATAGAGGGACATCGTACGTCGCTTTGCAGCACTGATGTGCAGCTAGAACCGGATCTCGTCCTCCCGTGTGGTACTTCCAAAGGGCACCCAATATGTACATCGTTCTACAGTGCACACTAGCCCAGATCGGTAGACCAAATGCTTCGGGTCTATCTATACGACCATCCCATCTTCAAGTTGGCGTGCGGTGACAGCAACTCTCAAGTACGAGGGCGCAAGTAGTAGACGCAAATGCTAGACGCTAGGTTCGTGGCTGTCGCCTGTGTTTCTGCTCTGCAGCCAGGTACATCAAGGCGGGTTGTCCAACGGTCGTTCCATCGATCCCCGACTGAAAGATCGCCAAGCACCCTCCTTGCAACGACATACAAATCGAGTGTCTTTTTTAATTATTTTGCTGGACCCAAATCCAAGCCAGGATTCGATCGTGGGCGCTAGATTCGATTATATAGGTTGTTGTATACGTTAGCATCTACTCGTGCTCGGGTTGCACGTCAAATCCCGGATCCGAAGCTCCACGAGGTCCGGCGGCCTTCGTGCGACGACCTCATTCTAACTTTGCCATGGTGTCGCTCCGGTACCTGCTTGGCGTCGCTCTCGCCGCCATGACCCTTCTTCTGCTGGTGATCGTGCGGGATGCGGTCGAACGCCGCTTGCTGCTGGTCCCGTTGCGGTATCTGCAGCAGCATTCCGTCGCCTTGTCACCCGACGAGCTTGACGACGAGTCGGACACCGACGACGTCGACGGCACTCCGTTCCTTCCTGGCTGGATCGAAAACTGCGTACCGTACGACATTGTCTCGACCGTCGACCCTGCTGGCGACGCCTCGATCACGTGGCGGACGCATCGGATGTACAAGAGCAGCAACGAGAACGACGGCTGGGTCGAGTGCGGCGCCGGCAAAGGCCACGTGCAGTTCCGCGCCGTGGGCCAAGCGCAGTACGAATCCATCTACAGCACTGCCGACCGCGACGCCGACGGCAACATCACGACGCACGTCGTGTCTTTTGCCGTGCCCGACCCCGCCGCCGCCTACGAGTTTATCGTCGGGTCGCACCATCACGGGTACTCGAGCCGCCACCGACTCGGACACAACGTCGACTACTCGCTCTCGCACGGCTTTGCGTGTCGCCCAACGCGCGTTCACGCCGCGTACGGCGCGTCACCCAGCACATTTACCATTCAATGGGCGACGCCGCCAGAGTGCACCAATGGCCGCCACGTCCTTGTCGTCCGTGAAGAGGCCGCCATCGATGACGCACAGGCGTCGCGGACCTTTGTCGCAAATTCGATCGTGTTTGGCGCAAGGTACGAGCACGTCGCGCTGGCGGTGCAGCTCAAGAGCAACACGCGCTACGCCTACTACGTCGGCAACGACGCGTACAGCCGGTCGATTCTCTATTCGTTCACGACGCCGCGCGGCATCGACGACGCGCCGGCACCGCTCCGGCTGCTCGTGACGGGCGACATTGGGTACCAGAACGCCGCGACGCTGCCCATGATGCAATCGGAGGTCGCGAGTGGCGACATCGACGCCGTCATCTCGGTCGGCGACTACGCGTACAACTTGCACAGCGCGAAAGGCGTCGTCGGCGACATCTTTATGACCGAGATCGAGCCGATCGCGGCGACCGTGCCGTTCATGGTGGCCATGGGCAACCACGAAGTGAAGCAGCATTTCTCCCACTACACGTACCGCTTCCAGCTCATGCCCGCCAACGCTGGAACTGTCTCCATCCAAGGCCGCACTCTGCGCAACAACTGGTTCTACTCGTACAACGTCGGGCTTGTGCACTTTGTCGTGGTCAACACCGAAGTCTATTTTACAAACCACGTCGACGAGCCCAGCATTGAGGCGCGTCAGCGCGCGTGGCTTCAAGACGACCTTGCGACCGCCAACGCCAACCGAACGGCGGCGCCGTGGATCATCGTCGTCGGCCACCGCCCACTCTACTGCACGTCCGACACTGAGTGCGACGGGCCGGCGCGCGTCCTCCGCCAGGCACTCGAGCCGCACTTCTTCGCGCACGGCGTGGACCTCTATTTATGCGGCCACCAGCACAACTACGAACGCATGTTTGACATCTACGATGGCGTTACCGAGCGTCGGACACGCAACATGCGGGCGACGACGCACATCCTCACGGGCGCCGCGGGCCAAAGTCGCGTCCTTCCGGTCCGCAAGCCGTTTCTGCGGGCGGCCGCGCCGTGGGACGCCTTCCGCAACAACATTTTTGGCTACGGCCGGCTCACGATCGCCAACGCCACGCATTTGCACTGGGCGCAAGTTGAGTGCGACCCAGCCAACCCCGCAGCGTCGCATCTCAACGGCAAAGCTGTCGACGACGTCTGGCTCGTGCAGGAGCACCACGGCAGCTTTGCGTCCCCATAACTTAAACCTCGTCATATTCTCGTTCACGACTGGTATTGTGAGCACCAACATGATCGGACGTGTGATCACATCGTGTCCATCTGGTCTAGACCAGCTTAGTGACCGTCTAGAAACCGTCTAGAAACCGTCAGAAAGAGGAGATAAGCGATCAAATGTAGCTGGGGCGATCGCGACAAAGCCACAACAGTTCACAGAATGGCCTTGATTCCAGTCACACACAAATGATAAGGGTTACTACTTGCCGACGTCCGTGATCGCCGACGACAGATCGTTAAAATAGGCGTGCTTCATCGCGTCCGCGGCCGTGATGCGCTTGGCCGGGTCGTAGCGCAGCATTTGCTACAGTTGTTTCCAGTCAGCGCAAGAAGTTAGCTCACGAGTACCTCGAGCAGGTCGAGGCCTGCGGGGTCGAGGGACGGCACGAGGTGCGCAAGGTTGTCCGGCGGTGGGTACATGGCAAAATCGGGCTACCCCAAATCAGCGTGCAACTAGCCTCCGTCTCGTACCTTGTACTCGGGCAGGTCGACCATGCCCGGGTAGATGTCGACCGTTGGCGTGCCGAGCAAACGAAAGATGCGGTCGAGCTGGTCGCCCTCGGACGTGCCTGCAAACAACGGGCCGCCGTTGGCCATCTCGGCGAAGATGCAGCCAATGCTCCAAATGTCCACGGGCGTCGAGTACTTCCTACCATTCCGCGTGAGCGTATCAAGGCGCATGGATGGTCGTACCGCGAGCCCATGAGCACGTCGGGCGACCGGTACCAAAGCGTCACGACTTCGTGTGTGTAGCTACATGCATACTGAGCTCGCTCTTCAGACAGCAAAGACGTGTACCTGCGAACTGGAATGCCAAAGGCGCGGGCGAGACCAAAGTCGGCGAGCTTCAGTTCGCCTTCACGGTTGATGAGCAGGTTCTGGGGCTTCAGGTCGCTGCAAATGGCACACCGTTAGAGCCACATGGACACGCGCGCGCGTACCGGTGCAAGACGCGGTGCTGGTGGCAGTACGCAATGCCCCGCAAGAGCTGAAAGAGGAAGCTCTTCAAAATGGGCTTCTCCAGACCCTTCTCGCACACGTCGAGGTACTTCTTGAGGTCCTGGTCGAGGTACTCGAAGACGAGCGTGAGCTTGCGCTCCGTGTGCACAATGTTGTAGAGGCGCACAATGTTGGCGTGCTGGAGCTCCTTGAGCAGCGAGATCTCGCGGATCGCGGTCGACGGAATACCCTCGTCTTCGGCCTCGAGCCGGATCTTCTTGAGCGCAATGATCTCGCCCGTCACGCGGTCCTTGGCCTTGTACACGACGCCGTACGTCCCTTCGCCGACCTTCTCGAGCTTCTGGTACCGCTCCATGATGCTCCAACCAAACTGACGGCGGCAGGCAGCGCCGGTTCGTATCCGGATGCTCGCCACAACTGGCCCGCCCACTCTCAATCTCAATGCCCTTTCTCAAGCTCCACTCGAACCCAACACGCGCGCGTGGGAGAGAGCATCTCGAATTTCGGTACAATTGTCGTACCCAGCGTGAGGGACCAAGAAGGCAATTCTCCCGTGGAAGCTGGCGGCGGCGGGTCCGCTGAAGGGGATCCGCGCGGGTTGTTGAAGATGGAACCGACGTCTAGTACTGCGGTGTATGTGGACTTGGATGTACCGAGACACGCGACGTCAACTAACTGATCGAGGCAAATCCCACCCAAGTGCAAACTCAACGCTCAAACTCAAAGCCAACTCGTAAAAGCGCGCCAGAATACCGCCGCTTCAACCGTCTTGCATCGTCTCCATCTGGTGGTGGATCGACACCATGCGAGCAACGGTGCGGCTCGGGCACGTGCGCGTTGATGTCGAGGGCCGCGTGCGGTGCAGCGCAATAATGGTGCAGCGAGTGAAGCGTACCACCGAGTCTGTGAGAGTCAGGTCCCGTCATGGCGCGTGCCGACGAGGCGCTGCAGCTATACGAGTCCACGACCATCAACGCAGCGTCACGAACCATACCACGCAGGCGAATGCGCAACTCGTACTTGGCTTCCACGCTTGCCCGAAAGATGCGCTGGCTACCTGAGGTTTCTCTGCGGTGGGTGTCAGTAGGCTACGAGATGCCCGCGAGTACGTTCAATATGACGTGGGATCGCCTGCTGGTGCCCCATGCTGCCAGCTCACGAGCCCTGGCTCAATCGAAGCGACTTCAACTTTGCCAAAAATCAACCGCACGGCGAAGAGTCGGTGTATGCATCTCATTGGCCAAAAATGCGTGGAATATGGCCAATCCGGATCAAGTTCAACGTGGAGTCACGTGAGAAGAATGCCCAGTTTAAAAGATCTTGACTACAACATGCAGAGCACAACGCGGCCACGGGACCGCGCAGCAGCGACGGTCGTCTTCTCGACCAAGACGGCGACCCGGCGCGAGAGAGACACGAAGGAGGTCGAGGCCATGCTGACCCGCAGCCGCGAGAGCGCCCAGGACTCCGGCGAGGTCGAGGCGCATAGCAGCTTGCAGCTCGACCTCGACTTGACGCAAGTCTCGCGCGAGGAAAGCAGCGAGCTGGAAGGCAAGCCGCCCGCCAGCAATAGCGATTACAGTGAAGCCGCAACGCCGAGCCCAACGCCGATTCGGAAGCGCAGCCGGCGGTCGTCGCGGAAAAGCTCCAGCGCCGACAAGGAGCAGTCGACCATGAACGCGAGTGTCCGGCGCTTGCGGCCGTCAAAAGCGCTCCTGCAGCTCGAGACAGCGTCCGTATCCGAGTGCGTCCAAGCCATGGTCAAGTACCGCACCGAGGCGACCCTCGTCACGGATGCGTCGGGTACGCTGACGGGTATCTTGACCGATAAGGTACGTACCGCCGCATGGACGCATGAAGTCCTATGAGCCGAATATAGGACATTGCGCTCCGTGTCGTTGCGATGGGGCTCGACCCAGAGACGACGCTTGTCGTGGACGTCATGACGCTGAACCCGTCGTGCGTCTCGCCCCGTGCGTGCGCGATCGAAGCTCTCGAGCAGATGATTTCGGGCCAGTTCCGGCACTTGCCTGTGGCCGAGAACGGGATCGGTGCGCTCGCGTCTCCTCAATCAGTCGTTTAGTATTTGCCTAGTCGTGGGCATTTTGGACATTGCCAAGTGCCTCTACGATGCCATCTCCAAGATTGAGCAAGCCTACATTGCCTCGTCCAACCAGTTTACCGAAACCTTGGTAAGTGCAACGTATTGTCATCGTATGGAGTCTCATCCTGATCCTGCAGATGGACGCCAACATGACGGGCACCGAGGCCAGCCTCTTTGAGATGATGCGGGAATCGGTCTCGTGCCTGTAGCTTTTGTCATTCACCTCTCACATTCGTCCTAGCTCTTTTTGCCGACGCTGCGCAACATTATCGACGGGTCGGTCGACGTGCCCGAGATTGCCGATGGCGCCACGACCCGCCAAGCCTCGCTCTTGATGCTGCAGAAGAACTCGAGCGCCGGTACGCGTATATCCTTTGAATGCGAGTGGTCACGCTCTGTCTAGTCATGGTGCTGCGGCCCAACGGCGAGATGGTCGGCATCCTCACGACCAAGGACCTCATGCGGCGCGTGCTCGCCGTCGGCAAGAGTCCGTCGAGCTGCCTCGTGCGCGACGCGATGACGGGCAACCCCGACTGCGCGCGCCTCGACACGACGATCCTTGACGCGCTCCACTCGATGCACGACGGCAAGTTTCTCCACCTCCCGGTGCTCAACGACGACGGCGCGGTCGTCGGTCTCGCCGACGTGCTCCAAGTCACGTGCAGCGTCGTGCACCAAATGGGCAGCTTCCAGAAGCAGCACACGGCGAGCGGCAATCCGCTCTGGAACAAATTTTGGAACTCGATGTTCAACCCGCCGCCGCTACTGCCGCCGACGAACGAGGTGGCGGCAGTCGTTGCCAGCACGCCCGAAGTGCTCTTTGTGTACAAGCTCGTCGATCGCGACGGCAACACGCACCGCTTCACGGCGTCGGCGACGTCGTTGGCCGCGCTCAAGGAGCACGTCTCGGCGCGTCTCGGTGCGGCGGCGACGGTCCACTACATTGACGAAGACGATGGCGAAACCGTCTTGCTGTTTGTGGACGCCGACCTCGAGCTCGCGGTCGCCCAAGCGCGCCGCCGGCGGGCGTCGTACGTGCGTCTCACGGTCAAGGAGCCCGTGGCAAAAGGGACGGAGGACGAGTTTGATATTGAGGCGCGTCTCCAGGCCTTGCCCGTGGACGAGACCAAGATGTCGCTCAAGCAGCCGGGGGCCGCGAGCGTCATGTCCGAGTCCAAGCTCCAGCGCCGCGCGAACCGTCAAAAGACGATGCTCGTCGCTGCGGTCGTCGGTGTCACGGGCGCCGCGTACGCTTTTTTGCGCAAGAAGGCGTAAATGGTGCCGTAATATGAAGCATCAAGTGAGACGTTGGCCTGCGTTTGTTGTGCACTGCGTTCTACTACTGTTAAGTCGACTCTGTCTTCTCCGCAAGCTTGGCAAGGATCAACGCCCGGATGTCGGCCTGCACGGACGATGGCAACTCGCGCGCAGAGGAAGCAACGCGAGGCACCTTGATTGGGCGTGGTGTGCCCGCGAGTTTGGCCACCGCCTTGGGCTTCTCGACTGCCTTGGGCTCCTCCACCTTGGCCTTGGGCACAGGTGTCTTGTTGGCGGTTGCTACCTGCTTGGAAGCGTCGTTGATGGACGTGGTCTTGGGAGGCAGATCGGTCACGACGGGAAACTACGCGGAACGAAATTGTCATGCAAGTCGAGGACGAAGGCGCGTACACGCGAGCGGTCGACGATGAAGACGTAGGTGACGCACTGGTCGGGTTCGAATTTTTTAGCGTCCGGCTCGGTCGTGCGGTGGTTGTAGCCCGGGAAGAGCTGCATGCGGAACGGCCGGCGCTCCTTGACGACGAAGCCGTTGGCCCGCGCTTGGTCCTCGACGAGCCAGTTGGAGTACGGAGGCTTGGTTTTAAGCGTCACGTGCGCCTCGCCACGAAGCGCGAGCTTGGGCCGCGCGCTCTCGAAAAAGTCGAGCAGCAGAGCGCGGTTGATGTGAACGCGCTGCTCGCCGCTGTGCGGAAAGTTAAAGATGATGTAATCAAAGAGCGCCGGCACAGCATCCGAGTGCGGCAGCTTTGAGAGCTTCGTCGCATCGACGCCGTGCATCACATGCGCCTTGGCCTGCGTGATCGACTGGATGCAAGCGGCCGCGTTCGGGTACTTCTACTGACGCAATATAGAGCGTTGTGGAGCGAAATGCGTGACGCACCTTGCGCACTTCACTCGTCGAGTCGTACGACGTTGCGACGAGGTTGGTGCCAGACCCGCCACGATGGGCCACGAGGCCCTTGGAGAACGAAAAGTCTAGGTAGGGTGAGCCTCTTAGCACGGACGGGGTGGCACGCACCGCCGTCGCCGAGCACGAGGATGCGATCCGCAGGCGTGTACAGCTGTACCGCAGCCTGCGTCTTGGAGCGCTTGTCCATCTTTTTGCCCTTGAGCTGCTTCACGGCCCGCGCGTCAAAGGCCGCGCCATGCTTCCGCTTACCCATGCTGATGGAATTGAAATCAGGACACGCCGGATGATTGGTCATGTTGAACACGAAGTAAGGCTATTCACACGCAACTAAATGTGCCCATAACCTGACGTCTAAACATGTTTTGGAGAATGGAGCCGCGAATGCTCGTCAGATATACAGAAAACGCGTTCCTCTCATGCTGCGACAGAGCTATGTGCATCGTCTAGCGGCGATAGTGACAGCTACAAGGTTCCAACCGCGCAAAGGTGCGTTTTTCTATCCTCTAGCGTGGGATTGTAGTGTACCCCGGTGTATCAATTGAATCGCGCACGAAACGTCTTGCAACCTTGTGTGCCCCGGGGTGCATACGCCCACGTTGGCTACCACACACGCGATATTTTTTCCTCGGGCGCAGCATGTACTGCGGCGACGAGGTCGGCGCCTTCGTCGGCGACGTTGGCTCGCTCAGCTCCAAGTTCGGCTACGCGGGCGAGGACACGCCCAACTGCATCGTCCCGTCGATCGTTGGCTCCAAGCCGAACGCCCCGCGATCGGTCCTTGGGCAGTCGGCCCTCTTCGCGGCAAGGGGCATTGACGCGCTACCCCAAGCCATCTCGCTCGTCGACGACAAGAACGCGTACGACTGGGACGTTGTGGAGACGCTCTGGACGCACGCCTTCGAGCAGCTGCATGCGAACCCGTCCGAACACGCGATTCTGGCGTCGCTCTCGCCCTTCGACATGGCGGTCGCGCCCAAGTACATGGAGTTGATGTTTGAGACCTTTCGCGCGCCGGCCTTTTTCGTCGCCAAGGACGCCGTGCTCAACGCGTTCTCGTTTGGCAAGTCGACGGCGCTCGTTGCGGATGTCGGCGCCGGTAGCACGCGCGTGGTGCCGGTCGTCGACGGGTTTGCGCTCCACGGATCGGCCCAGCGATCAGTTGTTGGCGGCGAAGCTTTGGGCCTTCAGCTGCAAAAGATGCTCCTCGACAAGCACAAGGTAGAGATCCAGCCTTGCGTACGAAAATATGGCGACGGCGACGTCCCCGCGGCGCCCGCTATGTCGGACGCGTACTTGCAGTTTCGGCGTCTCGAAGTCGTGCGCGACCTCAAGGAGTCCCTGTGCCTCATGCCCGAGACAACCTTGAATGAAGAGCTCGCCGAGTCGACTCCCGCAGACCCGTACGAACTGCCCGATGGCCAGGTGGTGCTCGTCGGTAGCGAACGCTTCAAGATTCCGGAGAAGCTCATGCACCCAGACGTGATTGGCGCCGACTCGACAACCGTAGCGACGTCGTCCAAGGGCCTGCACCGTATGCTCTACAGCGCGCTGCAGTCGAGTGACGTGGATGTCCGCCGGGAGCTCTTGAACAACCTGATCTTGTGCGGTGGCGGAAGCGCACTTCCCGGCCTCACGGAGCGCGTGCACTGGGAGATGAGCCAGCTTGTGCCGTCGAGCCTTAAGGTGCGCATCACGCAGATGACTCCGGTGGAGCGCAAGTTTAGTACGTGGATCGGGGGCTCGATCCTCGCGTCCCTCGGGTCGTTCCAGCAGCTCTGGGTCTCCAAGCGCGAATACGAAGAACGGGGCGGCGACCACCTCGCGTCTTCGCGCTTCCTCTAGAAGTCGCACCGCCGAGCTGTAATTACTACTAGTGTACTCCTCTATTTAAGCATGTCCTTGCAAAGCCGTGTCTGTCAAGCGTCTCGAGTACTGGAGGCCACTCCTGCTTACTACCCCAAGAGCTAGACGAGATGACGTCCCGTACGT